TATTCTTGTAGAAGACATTATAATTGACACTCAGTTTTTGTTTCAAGAGTCAGGAGACTGCCATTGTCAGGATTGCTTGAACCACTTCTGTTTGTAGCATTGTCTTTACAGCCTCAGTGTCATTCCTATCTGCCTCACTTTTCTTTTGCCTCCCCACTAGACCCTAGACCAAGGTGAGATGAGTTCTCAAGAACTTGGAATCCTCACAAATGTTCTCAGTTTTGCCTCCAAATACCTAGACTTTTCTAATATAAAAACATAGCAAAATCAAAACTAATTAAGATTTCAGAAATTCATCATTTCCAACAGAATCCAGATCCTACCATTCAAGTTTACCCCTGGCCTCCCAAGATACAAGGCCACCATGTAGCTTCCTTCCCCAAGAAGATGTGAAAGAAGAGAGTGGTGACAGATTTTAATTAGGCTATTAAATACGCCACTGGAAGGAACTCAGATATGATGGGGAGTCTCCCAGAATTGGTTTCTTTTCCTTGGAGCTTACTTACAAATCCTTCAGTCAGAAAGGAGTCTCAATATGAAGTATGCGGTATAAGAGCAGTAGCATTAAGGAGTGGCTGTTTTCTGAGCAGAGTTGTTTTCTTCTTTGCTTTCTGCAGTATTTGCTTTATCTTAATTGTAGCTATATATCTATCCTCAGACTTTATCAGATTTGATGAGATAAGCTATTGCCATCAAAGGCTATTTTGAGCTATGAGCTCCTAAGTAAATCAATGTTACATGAATTAAGATTGCCTGGAGATTGTCTTTATAACATTTCAGCTGCCCATTTCTGGAAAGAGTTTCTGATCAAAGCTCTTTGTAAAAGACAGCCTTAGGAATTTTCTCATGAGGCTTACAACTCTGTGGCCATTCCATCTCAAATGAGCTTTAATTACTAGGGCTTTAATGCCAGTGATTTTATGTTGTTTCAAAAGGGAAATATTTTATACTCTCGTGATAAGCACTGTATAGGAACCAATCTGAAATGAAGTAGAATTCTATAGTAAGGAATGGTTTCTTTATGGATTTCTGCTATCATGGAGCAGTGGAAAACAATGCATCCAGTACTGCAAAGGATATGACACTATAGACACAGCTGAAGATTTGTAGTAATTTATTGTTCTGAGGTTCTCAAAACAACACCTGGTCTCATAATTCTTAGTCTTGCCTACCAACTGTGAAGAGATAAAATGTGTTAATGAGTAATTATTAGTAAATACTATTTGCAGTAGTTTTACCTGTTGCTTGTACATTCCACTGCGCCATTTTTAGAAACAAATTCAACCATATTTCTGTCCTCTTGAATATCAAAAATGCCAGGCGTACTTCTACCTACCACAAAATCTATCCTTTTCAGAGACCACCTATAAAGACTCTTTTCCCTGATTCCAAAGGGCAGCTGTCACCACAACACAAACCCTACCACAAGCTCCCCACAGTTCGGTGTGATTGGCATTCTTTTCTCACATGATGGCTGGAATGGAGGATAAATAGGGAAGGGTGGTCTTGCATGTCAGAGCTGAAGTAAACATGTGGTAGCATTGGGTTAGCCTAAGACTGCCAGGACATACAGGAATAACTTCAATTATCTAGTGCTGCTAGGCTCTGAACCCCTGGAAGAATAAATATTTACTAGTCTGGATGAAATGTATGTTACATGAGTGTTTATTAGAGTTTATCCTGGATAGGTTAGAGAAAAAAAAAAGACTAAAGTTAGATAATTGTCAAATGGTTCATGACCTAGACGCTTTCTCTAATGCTTTCCCTCATCTGGAGAGGTGCTATTTTGAAGATCTGCTAACTGCTGAAATTCTCAGAGTCAGTGTCACAGGAAACACTCAGGCCTGTCTAACAGGCAGTGCTGTTATCAGTGTATTTGTGTGGTCCAGGTCAGAGTATAGCTTCTCAGGAGCCCTTGGCCTTGCTTCAGTCACCAGCCTCTGGTAGAGATACAGCCAAAGAGTTTGCCCTCTGGCACTGGCATTATTTCTTAAGTGAAGGCCGAGGTTGTGCTCGAGACCGTATTTGCTTCTGAAATTTGGATTCAGGTAAGGTGAAGTCCAAAGCATAGGGGAAAAGAGAACTTTGGCTTGTGCTGCTTTTAATAAAAGACCAAGACAAGCGCCTTCCCTCAGTGACAGGACGTGTACAGACCTTACTGGGCTGTTCAGATTGTAAACACGGTAACATACCCTATATTCCTAAGCAACATTATATACCTTATAACATACTGTCATATCTGCAAGGTGTGGAAACCAGTGTCAGAGGCCCAGATTCCTGCCAAAGCTCTGGTAGCTGAAGGAGGGATTTAAATGGTATGGATCAACTCTAGGATCAATTGAGATATATAAGAAAACACATTATGGGACACTGCTCTCTGCTAGTTTCTTTCTTCGTTCTGTGATATTCTTTATCTTTAGTCTGACTGTAAACTCTTCTGGACTGTGATTTCTGATTACACAGTGAAATGGCTCCTAGCAGCTACCAAAAAGCAAATAATAATACCACAATTTTTTACAATTCAATTTTAATTCATTTGAAGGAGTGGATCTAACCTAGGCCTGGCATGGTTAGGCCTCTAATTGAAGGGTAGACATGGTGAGGCCTGTAGGCCTCTTGTACGAAGGTTGGTTTAGTTTAGGTCTGTGCCTGACAGGATCCAGGTGGCCTAAAGAGACATAAGACATTGTTGCTCCCTACTCCAGAATGATCCGGAGTGTTTCCCAGCTGTATCCAGGTCGCACAAATGGCAATATTATGTTGGCCATTCTGTAACACTGTAAATCAGGCCACAAAACCCCACATTTGGAACAGTTAATGTCACTGCCTCGGGCAATACCGCAGACAGGGCTTTGCTTTGAAAACAAATGAAAACTAGAAATAAAAATGCCGCTTTTGACAGCAATTTAATTTTAAATGGATGGCATATTAAATGCTGTTTATTAGGGCAGCGGGTTAATTATGCAACCTCTTTCCATTGCATCTTGTTTATAGGAACAGACTGAATCACACCAGCTTGTTGTGTTTCACATCTGGTAGGGCTGGCTCTCATTCTGGCACAGCAATCATCTCTTTGCAGTGTTTTGATACATGATCACAGAGTTTTTGTCTCTAAAGCCGTACTGTCAGACTAAGATTCTCAGATAATGTCTGGGCTGACGTTTTCTGATGCTCGGCAATGCAGGCATTTTTCTCTTTACGATTTTCCCCAAAAGAATGTTGCAGTTGTGATGATAATTAATTATATTTGAGAAACCATTGGTTTATTTTTACTGCAACTTCCTTAATGCTTTTGCTGGTTTGGGCACTTCTGTAACCCACAAATTGTCATGCTTCCATCAGGTGAATATTATTTTCACATTCAATATAATAGGTGTGGGGGGGAGCTTTTAGTGAGAGGCAAGTCCCATGCTGCTTTTCTTGGCAAATATAATCTTGCTAACTTGTATCAAAATTAAGTTGATATATCTGGTCATAGGATTTTAAAATTCTCTCTCATAAGATAAAGAGAAATGCTGTTTTAAAAATAACATTAAAGAAGTGGAAGCCACTAAAAACACCTGAAAATCATACAGCTATAGCTATAATGTATATTCAGTGTGATGACCTAGTATATATTTTTAAGCTGATAATCTAAATAACTTTTCTTGATTGCCAGGAATAGTAAACAGGGTGGCTGTGTTTATATATATACACAAGTGCACATATACATACATACACTTAAATTTTTGCACCTATTTATTGGGGGCTTCTCTTTTTTTGAGACCAAACTATGTTAAAGAAGCTTCATATTCACTGGCTAGTGCCAGTGAGTAAGTCTATTTCCACAAAAAAAAGCTTGTATCAGAGTTTGGCCTTAATAGACTCCTTTTCCCTGATGATACATAAGAAATCTTCCATCTGGAAGATTTTCAGACACACTCCTACTTGACTCAGGAACAGTGCTCACTGGAAAAAAACTTTGATGGAGAAGGGGTGTCTTTTTTTTTTCCATCAGTAAAACGCAGTAGCACTAAAATAATAATAATAAAAAGCAGTATGTGAGCTCATATTGCTTTTGGGGAAATTTCATTTTAAAAAGTGATGAAAAAGTTCCAGTAATGGCAAAACATCCAAAACTAGCTCCATACTTAGGAAAAAAAAAAATCAGATGTATTATTTTATTTTGAATTTTTGTCATTTATTTTTATAAGTCAGTACTACATTATGCTTTCTATTAGATTAGAAACAGTCATGAGTGAAACATAGCATTTAATTTCTGTGAAAGCAAATTCTTTTCATCTGAAAGAAAATAAGTTTTGCTCTGTATGGGAATAACATAATTGCTGGAATCCCCATCTCTTCATGCAATGGAATTTCCATTCCCTGTTTCAATATGTTCAGGAAGAAAATTATCAAATGTTAAAGATCCCCCTTCAAAAAACCAATACTTTGATTCATCAAGCAACCTATTTATTTAAGTTGTGGAGTCTTTAGGGTTCCAACTCAACTTGCTTTATTATGCTCAAATGCTGCCATTCCTATTTAATGGAAAACCTTCCTCTTCAGCATATTCAAGATTGGTGGCTGAAAATTTAGAGAATAGATGAGCCCATTTCCATTCGTCCATCCACTTCACATATTTTCTATTAAGGTTTTCTCTATGGTGATTGTGTATATAAATAGTCCCCAACATGAAAACGCGTGTTGAAGATGTTACACTTCCTCCAGGGGCCAAAAGTGACTCTTAACCACAATTGAGTGCTTTGGTTCACATTTTTTTGCAAGAACGTCCTGTATATATATGTGTGTGTATATATATATATATTCACACACATGTGTATATTATATATATGTATATATTGTATGTGTATATATACATATGTATACGTATAAATACTATGGCCAAGGAAGAGCTAGTGCTATGGGAGACACCTAAGGGCAACTTACCAGTCTTGTGTTTGGTTGTGCAGATAAATTCAAGCTATAAGCGATGACATTGTTTTTTTTCCTGTTTACAGCCTGTGCTCAGCCCTCCTGGTCTTCCCAAAACGGCTCACAGGGAGAACTTCAAGGGTAAGGCATCTTTTTTTCCCAAGTACTGGGGTCTGTTTGCTATAATCCTGCTTCAATTTGAAGTGGTGTTACTGGATGCATTAAAACATTCCCTTTTTTGTGTGTTTTCCCATTCACGTTTGGCAACAGAGAGGCTTAAAAATCCAGAAACGATCCTTCCAGTTGTTGTTTTGGGCACACAATACAGGCATTGTGCATTGCTTAAATGGAGCAGATTCCAGTTGTTTACACTTCTTCATGTGGCATTGTTAGGCTTAAGCAATTTGTCTGCTGATAGCCCCATATTAGGAGTTCTCATTTGCAGTATAATTGGACGATATGATCAGAAACAGATCTGTGGTAGTCCACAGACAATTGCCAACTATGTGCAGTGATAGACAGCCTCATAAAAAGGCTATGGGACAAGCTAAGCCAGAGATGTTTTGCCAGTCTGAGTGGCACTGTTGTGTGTGAATGATTCATGTCTGTCATGAAAGCAAATAGAAAAGCAAATAGAAAAATGTGTCAGATGCCATCAAAGTGAAGGTAACGAAAGAGAAAGATGTGACAGTCTTCCAGCTAAAATTTCTTTTCTGTGCTTTTGAGTCTCTAAGCTGCTGTAAGATTTGGCTGCTGTAAGACTCTTTTAAGACTTAATTATAACAGCAGCAACAACAACAATACTCCCTTAAACCATTTCAGGTGTGTTAATGTCTGTCCTCTGCTTTGAACTCTTGATTTTGCTTCTTTCTCTAGAGAAGCGCGTGCTGCGAACAAGGGCAAATTGATAGGACTTTCATTTTGGAAAAGGCTTTTTTTTTGGAGTTTTTCAGTTTTAGGGAGCTGTGTATGGTGTAATTAAAAGGTTATGTGGTTGAGGTAGATAAATAAGAGGAAATTTTATTTGAAAAGAACACTTGTTGCATTTGAGAAAAGCTTTTCGATGAAAGAGATTTTGATTTTGATTTGTCCCCTCCTGCAAATGTTTGCACCTTCATGCTGACCTGCAGTCTTGCTAATTTAATTCTTGTTCCCAACCTTTTCCCACGGGAAATCTGCTGCTGCACTCCATTTTTCATTTTATAAATTTAAAATAGAGTTGGTATCTACCTGCCTTGCAGATTATCAGTCTCTACTCTTCAGTCCACAATAAAGACGGCTCACCTGCAGCTTTCAGGCTGTCATTTTTCAGCCATACCCTGCAGGAAGGCAGTCTTTGAGCATAGCTTCCGGGGAAAACACACTTCCTTGTTGAGTTCCATCTTTCCAGCATCTTTCAGGTGTAAAGACATTTATTTAAAATACAACTGTAGTATGTCATGATTTTGTTTACTCATGTGAAGTTCCATTTTCTGAGCACAAGTAGAAGGTAACATTGCAAGACAATATTGAATACTCAAATCATTCTAGATGGAGCTAGCTAGACCCTATTAGCTAGTCCTGCAATGACTTGTCTGTCTCTATTATTGTTTGGCAAAATCATAAATAATTAGTAAAGAATCCTGATAATCTGGACTGTAATTTTCCATATTGGATATGTTTTTATGCCTTAGTATTTTGGGGAATAATCTCACAAAAGTAGTTCTTTTTTTTTCTCTCTTGAAAAGGATGAAGCGTGGGGAAAAAAAGTAAGTTGAGCAGTTTAAAAGACTTTCTACAACTATTTCATCTGGAAGTTGCAGTTCTTTTAGACTAAATTGAGCTGGGGAGCTCAACTGACAAGCAGAACGTGACTTTTCACATCATTGAGTATCACTGTTTGCACATTCTCAGACTGTTAAGCTTTTGAGGATATCATAGTAATCTCCTTGCCAAAGACTTCAACAGTAGGACTTTGCTTTTGTGACTGGTTTTCCGGGTTGATGAAGGTCATTCAATACAGATATGGAACAAGGAGTTTCTCTCCCTCTCTTTCAACTAGCCCTACAGTAAAGAGGTCAAAATGAAACTGCTTATGGGTATCTAGAGAAGAAAGATGCAGGCTGGGATGTGGCAGGAGGAGAGGATTGAGCCTGGATGGGTTAACAGGCTAGGAGCATGCCATTACACCCCTTTCCAGCTTTGGAAAACAGCCCAGTTTCTCCACTTTTGCCTTGTCCCCCCTATCAAGATCCAATCAGAGAGGAAAACACAGCCTATATATTGCTATCAGTTCCTCTCAGCTCAAATGGCAGAAGTATGCCTCATTTCTCTGAAGCATCCAGTCCTACTGGTTGGGTAAGTGAAACTCAATAGGTTTCTACCAGTAGGAAACCGTGTTGATTTTTTTTTTTTTTCATTTTTCTTCTTAAAAAAATAATCCAAGGGTATTTCATTAGCAAACATTAAAAGAACTGAATTGTAGTGTCTGGCATTCTGGCCTCTAGCACTGTATGAGAATGGTATTGAGGAAATGAATCATGGTTATGTACTGAAGGAGACTGTTGTTAGGCAGGCCATTGCCTCACTCATCCCAGAAGAGCTGGAATGCAGACAGTATAGGAAGCAGGGACTTCTGTGAAGAGCACAGATGATCATGAGGTTGAGCAGGCTGAGTCCCAGACCAGAGTCCTAGACTTTCTCTTGGAGTCTGTCAGGGAGTTCCAATGTGATTCTAATAAATAACTTAGAACACACTTTCCATATGACTTCACTAATGGTGAATTCCTCCTCTCCTAAATTCTCCTGAGACACAAAAAGATCCAGTTTGAGAAAAATAAAGTTCTCATTTAGATCAGCAACAAAAAGGGTTGTATTTTCATGTCTTATTGAAGTGTGGGATATTCAGTTAGTCATCCTCTATGTGAATCATATTAGAAAATGTGACAAGTTTGGGCTTAATCGTTCCAGACCTTATCTCACAGAGGTGTTGTAAAGATCAACTGATGTTTGTGAAACATTCTCAAACTAGTATAATTGGAAACAGTATAATTGGAAACTCAAAGGATATATGGACACACCTGGGTTTAGTACAATGGTTGTATATAGAGAACAGTAGATAAGACCTGAAATCACTTGTGAAATGATGAGGTTACAAGAGAATACAAACCACACATAGGTTCAGTAAGCTCCAGCCATCCTTTGTGTTAAATGAAGTGGGAAAAATATAATGCATTGAGATAATACATAAAAGGACTATAATAGGCATACAAAAGGAGCAAATAACAATTGTACATGTTCCTTCAATTTCCATTTCGTACTGTGCAAGTGTGAGATCGTTCAGCCTCAACTTTTGCTACTGTAGCACCGTGTGTGGGTTTAATTGTGTAAGATGCATGCATTTTGCTTAAAGCAGCATGGAGTTCCTCCAGGTGAACTGAATCTGTTGGCACATACAGGCTTCTGCCATGCAGTATTGTCCTCGACACCAGCATGCAGAGCTCTTAGACATTTGCAAAGCGGTACCTACATTTTAACCCAAACTGGGGTTAAAATGAGGAGCTCCTCATTCCTAGGCCTTATGAGCCACTAATACATGATATATCTCAGGGAAACGTTTTGCCCATTGTGGAAGGACTGCTAGCTCTGGAGCTGAATGACACTTCCATAGTGAGCAGGAACAATGTGGAACAGCTCCGGAAGAGAAAAAAGGAAGTGCTAAGAGACCGTGGCACTTAACAGGGATCGTATGATGTGAAGAGGTATTAGGAAGTCCTTTCCTTTTTAGAAAAGAACTTGAATTTATTTGCTCTTGCTAGACTTCCTTGTCCTACATTTTTCATTCACCGTGAGCCAAAGTAGACCAGAATACTAACCCTCAAATTATTGGCAATTTGTTCAGCTCTCTAGAAAAATGCCTCCAATAAACACAAACCCAGCTAGTCAGTGTAGCATTAAATCAAACCCTAAAAGATGAAAAATGCTTCTTTCACTGTTTTATCTCGAGCCAAAAAGGATATTGCTTTACATTTTTTCGAAATAGGAGTGCATAGCTTTACTGCTGCCTTCCAGCATCGAGAGATGTTTCTCCCGGTAAAAGCTCATTAATTTGAGAGTAGGCTTGATTAGACTAGAACTGAACAAGACCGAAACATTTCATTTTATTCTTTCATGCTAATCTCTTGGCAGAGCAACCCCTCTTTTGCCTATCGCCCCCACTGAAAACACAAACAAAAACAAGAACTCCCCCTCCTTCAAGATCTGTATGGACCACAAAATAGCCTGAGGGCTCTTTTGTTATTACCATAAAATGCATTACACAAGTGAATAAAATAGCTGATCGTAGTTCGGGTCTATGGGATACTAGTAATCCTATATAATTGCCAACTTGTGGGGTGATTGGTGAAAGAAACCTTAAAGCCTTTTTATTTTGTCTTAGTAATGATGAGGGAGTTACCCAAAACATATGAATGCACCTCTCCTCCTTTAGACCATCAAAGGTTCCACAATGAATTCCTTTCTTTGAGAAAGCTGGGCTTTAGTCTGCCATGAAACTCAATCCACAGCCCTCTAATTAATTTTGCTAAATAGATTAGCCAATTGGAGTGGTTGCTTCGGAGGGAAACTGCCCTCCAAACAAGTTTTTCCCCATTCTCAAGGTGAGATGTTTTGCTCACAGGACATCCTTTCAAGTGCACTGGAGTACTTTTAGACTGGATTAGCAGAGGCAAATGGATTAGTCTTTGTAGGTATTAGAACCAAGGGCCTTTAAGAAAGGAAAACAAGGTGCCTAGTTTCACCAGTACGCCACTAAAAGCTACTTAGTGCAAACATCCGTAAAACTGTCAAGAATGAGGACTTGTAAAAGCAACTGTAAGCACATCCTCAAGCTAATTGTAAGACACACATTTACACAGAAATATGCAAACTGCAAACACAGGCTGAATAGGGACTGTCACATGCATATCTGATCTGAGTGAGCATAAAGAATTTTTCCTGGTGTTTTGAAGGACACTTGAAACTCCACAGCATCTGCTAATTTTTCTTCTGAGCAAGCCAGTTGATTAAGGCATTAATCCTCTCACAAAAGTAACCCTGAATGACTCTCCTCTTTGCTGAGTCTCTGAGAGTCCGACAAGAAGAGTGCTAAGTTTTACAGAATGGGGGACTCCGCATATCAGTTGTAATGTGCAATGGTAGTGTGATTGGGTCCAAGACATTTTTCTTCCATTCGTTTCTTGTCCAAATGTAATGCTGTAAAACAACAGGAGGAGAATGTTTGTGTGATGGTAGGAAAGTAACTGAATAAAGTAGGAATTCAAAATACTTCTTTCTGCTGAATGGTTGCCTCCCTTATCCCAATAAGCATTGACTTGACTTAGCATTAATGAAGGACATGTTCCTATTTCTATAGAAAAATGAAAAAGAGAGACTAAAAAACATAATTTAGATGGATAGGTAACACATGCCCCAAATAATAAAATGCACATAAGTATTGTTAGAAGTTGAAGATTGACCTGATGCTCAAGCATTCAAAGACTATTAACTAGTATAGTGGGTTCAAACACCAAAGAAGAAACAATGTTTTTCTGACATGTTAATAGGTTATTTGAAAGTCATGTGTAGTGTCTGTATTATGCACCACCCTTAATAATTGGTCTTCAAATGTACCGAGTAGCATCTCCTTGCTTATAGAGGAAGTAGTGACCTGTGTTTATTGCAGAAAAGACAGATTTTCTGTGAGGATGCCCTCTTATGATGCATAAATAAGTAAATAAGGGGGTTTTGAAATTTGGTTCCTCACTGGAAATATCAAGAACAACCTTATTACCAAAAAAAAAGAAAAGAAATGGAAAGGAATTCTGGAATTCTATTCCTTTTTCTTTTGAGTGTATGGACTCAAAGGGAGGCCCTGGTTGATTTTTTTTTTTTTTTTTTCCTATGCAAAGAAAGGAAATTACAGAGTATTCCCTATGTTTTCAGGAGCTTACCTCCTTTCTACTTTGCCAGTTGAAATGTGCTTTCTCCAGTGATGCTGGTAATCCTTTTCTCATTTTGTAAAGCAAAGAACTTGGTGAAAGCCTGCGTGGTACCGCAGAAGAATGGATAATCCTTGGATTTATTAAAAGGGCTGAATAGGAACCAGATAACTAAAAGAAAGTGAGTGAACAGTAAATATTAGAAATGACTTTATTAAATTTAAAAATGCCTGAGAATTACTCTGTTTCAGTAAGTGCACTACACAGAAACTCAATAATGAGCTTGTATGTTATGTTGGGATAGCAACACCTCATTAAGTATCCTTTAAAGATACATCTCTTTTGCCAACTGGGTGATAGCACACAGAATGTTGAAAATGTATTCCAAACATTGAATGTTTGAAAATGTGTTCCAAATACCATTCTCCTTATCTATTTCTTGAGTACTGTAGAAATGCCTATAAAATCAGCCTAGAGATAAGGATCTACAGATCTGTAGCACCTTCCATTCAAGGTCTCAGTTTATTACGATCACCCGCAGCACCTTACCACACTCTAAAGAAGTGAGTAGATTTATCCTTTTGGCAGCTACATTGGGAATAACACACAGTGTAGGGATGAAATTGGTCTATTGGCTGATTTCAGAGTTGAGCCTGCAATAGCCAGTGGACACAGGAGAAGGTACAAGTATCCAGACCTCTTCCAAAAATATCAAGCGAATATTCCTGTATTTTATCTTGCAGATGTAAAATGGTTATCTAAATGGTAAATGCTGTTTTCAGAAACATAGAACAACTGCACATCCTGTGATGAAGGGTGGGAGGCACGGGTGCTCACATCTGAAACTCATGGCCCTTGGGATGCAACATTCCCTGATATAACCTGCCAACAGTGCTACTGTCCAGTATGCAGACAGCTGAGATGGTCTGTGGAAATCAGAATGGGCCTTCCTTATCCCACAGCTTCATGTGTGACCACTCCTCTGCAGAAAATGCTATTTTCTCTCCTATGTAGTGTGTGCACATCACTGTTTTTCCCTGGTTTTAGAAAGATCAGCTAAATGGAGAGTGAGCATTTTCTTTAAAAAAAATGCATATATATCCTTTTTGGGCGGTTGCTCTAAGCTACCAAAACTTCTGTTAATGCTACACAGTCCTTCTCAGTGAGCAGACAAAGATTCCTTATTTGCACCCTTGATCAAAACACGTGCTATTTGTTTGTGCAGTCTAATGGACAACTTCCCATTGATGACATATCAGAGATTATATTTGTTTTCATTGTTGACTTTAGCAGAAGAGGAACAGGCTTTTGGTAATATTCTGAATACAATCACAAAGCTGCTTTCTCCTCTGTAAGAAATCTGAAGTATACCAGCTACCCTGTGGGTCAAGGAAAGCACAAGTGCCACATGCAAGCTGATGAGGAGTGTAAATACACAGCATCAGATCTGTTAATAGATCAGATCATAGATCAGACCAGCAAGCAGGGACAAGTGATAGCAAAGTAACGTGAATGAAGGTAATGAAAACAGACTGGAAGCAGATTTAGGATGAACATAATTAGAGTTAATGTTAGCACTGAAAGCAGAGATTTGGGGGTTGGTGGTGCCTGGGGCTAGTTGACGTTTATCAGCATAGCTTGACTGTCTCTCTAAGAGAGGTTTTGTACGTGGGAAGAGATTCTGACATTTTGTGCACAATTGGACCACCTGCTCATGTCTCATCAGCTAAAAAGAGCTTAAAGGCTTCTTAGCACATGGGAGGTATGGATCAGGCATGCAAAAATATTTAAGTCCCAGATGGAGCATCTCTTAGCCATAGCCACAGGATAAGTGACTCTTACTTATGCCTTGATTCAGCATGATTGAGGCATAAATATCTAAATAAGTCCATACCTAGCTAGCAGCATGGGACTAGGTCTTCTATGTGCTTGCAGCTGAGAACATGGTAAAGCAATGGGATGCATCAAGCCTTCGTATGCTCTCATGTTTCCTTGCTTCTTTCCTTCCCCTGTGAGCACAGCCTTGACCTTTGAAATTCCGAATATTCTGGGCTCCCATCTATGTCTGCCTTGCTGCTGAGCTGAAATATCCTACTCAATCCCTGGCTATTTCTGGCCCTATGTGGCAGATGAATGTTTCCAGACAAGGAGGACATTTGCCCCATCACAAAACTGGACTGTGACACTTACAGGACTATTTGGGGAAGGACAATTGCTCTCTATATTTGGGACCAAGCTTGTTCTTTCCACCTTTTTCTACCTTCAGGGTACTTTTCACTCTTTCCATTTGAAGATGCTTGGATAATCTTGTTAATGAGATGCTTTTAGAAACTAATAATTGGAAAACTGTCATAGGGTAACAGTTCTAGTTCTGGCACATTAAACAAATGCACTAGAGCCTAAATTGGCAGAATTGAGTATTTAGTTCTGTGAAGGGTTGAACAGTATCTTCCAGGTGATCCCCTTGAATCCCTCCTTCCTTCTCTACTCTCCTTTATGCACCTCTGTCTCTGCTACACCCTTTGCCAAAGTTCAACTCAAGTTGATGAAGAGTGTATATTTTTGAATGGTAAATGCCTGGCAGGCCTAGGAACTATCTCCAAGCCAGGTGTGTGGCTTAGGCAGCTTCCAGCTCCCTGCTTGGGACTGATAGTGCTTTTATAAGAAAGCAGCTTCAATCCTGTCCTGGAAGAAACATTCCTGCCCCTGGGGGACAAGTGATTCATTCAGCCACTGAGGTCAGTTCTGCTGCAGGTCTGCCTAAGAGAAGCTGCCAGCTATATTGAATTTAATCTCTAGTCGCAGACAATTTTGGAATGTGTATGTTCTACCACTTTGCAGATGGAAGAAATTGTGACCTTGGACTGAGCTAGGATCTCAAACTCATCGTTACCGCAACCAGATATCAATGCTACTTGAGAGCAAGAGATTCATTCTTTATGTATGAACACAAATTAACCTGCAAGGGAGGGAATCCCCTCAGAACTGAGAGAGACGGGAGGAGTAGTAGCATAGAAACAAAAACAGTATGTTAACTTTATTAACATAGAGGAATAAAATCTTATAATGGTCACTGTGGTTGGAGCATAAGTTTAAAAGTAAAACATTTTTGAGTTTGCTCTGATTTTGTTATCTACTTTCTCCATCACCTTAAATTATCTCTGATGCAAAGGCATCACAGAAAAGATGGTTTATGTTGCCTTTTGTCTTTTGAAATAAATACCTTCTTTTAAGAGGGTTTAGAATATTTTGAGGAATGGAGAGTGGATGTCTTCTGGGTTTTTCTAGGTGAAATGTTTATTGCAGGACTGCTTGAAAGATGTGTGGCATTGATGAGATGCCTAGGAGGAAATTGCATGCGGCTCTGACCTTAAGAGGCTCGGTGCTGAGAGAGGACTACGCTAATCCCCAAATCAGGAAAACACAGTTCTGCTCTGCCATTGAAGTCAAGCACTCTGAAGGAACAAAGGCACTTAAGAACTATCAAAACAGAAAATTAGTTAAATCACTGAACTGATAAAGAAAAAGAAAAGGAAAAAGAGGAAAAGGAAAAGAGCTATGATAATTCAAATAGAAATTCAAAGAGGTGGCTGCCTCTCCAGCTCATCTTCACTTCTTCAGATGAGGAATCTTTCTTCACAGCTCTGTTATCTGGTTGCTGGGATTGATAGAGCAATGCTGATGGTTTTCTCACAACAGAAATTTCACTGAAGACTTCGGCGAAATTTTCTGATGAGTTTAGGCACTCTTGCTTAGTGAATCTACAGGTAATAAATTCAAACAATTCTGTGACTACCCTTTAGCAAGTACACTTGAAGTGACTCACAGATATGGCAGTGCTTCCCTTCAGCACTTTTGGAAGATCTCACACGCACTTCACATTCACATGCCACCCTAAACACCTATTCCTGACTGTCTATCCTCCCTTTGCACTCTGAAATAACAGCACTGAAGATGACACACAGTTTCTCATACAAGGCCACATCAAAGGAAAAATAAAGTAGTGAAAAATTTTCCAGGCTTGTCAAAGTCCTAAGATGCAAACAAATGGTAAGGGGACTTCCCGAGTGAGGAAATTGGTCAAGATGAGTTAGGTCACAGAGCATCTTCATTTTCTGCATTTTCAGAAAAGCGTAAGGCTTTCTTGTCCTTTTGACCTTGTTCTTACAGCTGTGGCCCTCGCTTGCTTCATCTTATTTGACAGAAGTGTCACCATGTGTGAGTAATGAGGAGTGTCAATATTGATCCTGAGCCAGTGTTACATCCCTTGGCCAGATGCAGGACACCCATTGCGTGGTGGCAGCTAGGTAGTCCTCATCTTCTCTGTCATCTCCAAGGGCCAGGGACTGAAAAATGACAAGGTTGAATGTATCTCATATAGTCAAATCGAAGCAAAGTGACATTGAATTTGAGAGGACTAGAAAAATCTTGCCAGAATTTGCCATTTCATCAAGATATGAGTCATTGCAAGTCACATGTTTTGCAGAAACCTAAAAAGAATGAAAATGGAAAAGAAAAACAGGAACTGGTTTTGGGGAAGTTACTTTTATTCATATTTCCGGGGTAGACAACCACAAGACACAGTATGACATCAATCTTGGGTGAAGTGTCTCTACAGGTGCATAAAAACAAGCAGTTGCCTAATAAATTGCAACCTTTCTGTCAAGCTTCTCACGCATCCCTTCAGATTTTCTTTAAATATCTCTGAACCACTATTCCCTCATCCTTTCACACCCGGCAGAACTGGGAATTGGCACGTACACACAGCCTAGATGACACTTCATGAAGTCTTGGGTGAATGAAGCTTACACTTTCCAGCACACCTATAAAGGTCAGAATTCACAAAGCAAACTCTTCTAAAATAGAAATAACTTACCTGAGTTTTATTCTATTCTTTGATATTTCTTTCTCTCGTCCTTTTACACTCAAAATGCTTCCTCCAGATTCCTGCGTGTTCCTGAGGCTTCCAAGGTGGAATGTAGTTGGTTCAGTGGGCAAAGGAATATGATGGAAAGGACCTTTGATGACCTGAGTCTTGGTGATACGAATGTAGCTATCCCAGAGTGCTTGCAGACCTATGGCCAATGACCATTTCAGGTATTAAGAGGAATTTTAGGCCTTGTGACTGGAGCTTCTCCCTATTAAATTTTGAACAGATGACAGTATTAAGCAAGTTTAAAGGCAAAAGTTCCTACGTATTTACTGTCTTTATCTTCCATGACTCACATCAGCCGTACTAGACTTGACCCAACAGAACTGTGGCCTGCCATGGCAAAGTTCCCTGAGAAGTTTTATCAGTACAGGGCAGGAGGGTTTAGAGAGGCCAGAGAGCAACATATAGCATGCCACACTTCACAGCTACCTCTGGCCCATGTCAACGTCAGCGTGTCTGCAGGGCAGCTTGGCACCCAGCCACAACCATAGCAGCTCCATACCAGTTCTGGCTAAAAACCTGCTGCTGCTGCCCCACAGCTGTGCTGGGGTGAGAAAATAATAAAAACAGGCTACAAATATGCCCTGCTCCTGGGGAAAATTAGCAGAATCTCTCACATTGAGCCATCATCAAAGCCCATAGAAAATCAGAGAAGATGCAATACAGAGTGTTTCCATTCCTCTATCAAATTTCTTGCCTCATAAAGCTGCAAGAGTTGTCAGAAACACAGTGAACCTGAAATGGTCCCAGAACAAGATCTATTCTCCCACACACTTTCATGGCCTCATAATGCCTCAATTTTTCCTACCAGCCCAGCTTCTGGGGAGAACACATATGGACTAGTAGATGCAGGAAATAGATATTGGAGTCTGATCTCAAGAACAACATTTCATAGACCTAGGAAGGGATTTTTAACTTTTTGCAGGCTAAAAATCCAAGAATGAAATATGCAGAGAAATAAAGTGTCTTTAGAAAGCAAGCAATATTTTTCTGCCTTCAAAGTCCCTCAGCCCGTAGAAGCCACATTTTCCTGACTCAGCACAAAAATGGGGAAGGTAGAGAACTTTGGAAGGTCTCCTAAGCCGTTACATTCAGATATAAACTAAAAGATGGTTCAGATGACTTCAAGAACATCTGTGAGAAAGCATGCCTGTGAGGGAGGTTCAGACATTTCAATGAAAACCCTTTGGTGCCTGAGTGCTCATCAGGAAAGAAATTCTGTGAAAAAATGGGATGACACACTGACTTAGAGGCAATTCAGAGGGGCAGCACAAGAACTGTCTGATCACTTCTTTCACATCTTAATGGCTTAGTTTTCCAGGAAGGAAATTTTAAACATGGTCAAATGACATAGCAAGGAAAGACATTCTTTGAACGTGCTGAAGATCTGTTGCTTCAAGATTAGCAGTCTAAAAACCACTAATTCAAGTCCCTCAAATATATTCCAGTGTCCCTTAACACTGTCCTCAGGCTGAGCTCAATCCACTAAGTCCTTTAAAGAAATAAATATCTTGCCAAATAACTCTTAAGTGGTGTGCATCGCAGGGAGGATGCTGAAGGAATAAATGGTGCACATAAGCAAGAAATGATTCCCAGAAAGTATAGTGAGCCATTTACTTTGATTTGCTCTCCCACTTAAGAGAAGATGGATGTCTTGAGGCTTTCCTGGAGCAACTTATGAGCCAAGGTGCTGGAGGAGGGTGAGACTGTCATGCCAGGCCAGATAAAACAGAAAGCGGTGTTTGCCTTGCAGGAGGAGACAACAGAGAAGCTCCTATTCTCTGTCTCCCTAGAAGCAACTATTTGTATTTTCTGGAGCACTGGGAAGAGTCTTGGCATGAATTCAACACCGTGGTCATTTGGAGGGAGACGTGCATGTGATGACTGTCTGCATTTGTTACCCATTCCCATAGATCAAACATGGAGCAAAGTGCAATGACAAGTTCACAAGAGGAGATTTATCCTCTGCAGCTTTGGCCCTCTGCCTTCAAAGACGTCTGGAAATATGTCACTGTGGGCTGCTTGTGAAGGATGACACCAGCCATTACCAAGTCCTAAACTAAAAGCTATGTGAATGGGCAAATGTGTCCCTTCAGGGACGATGGGACAAACTCTGGCCTCGGTGCAGGTAGCAGAAGTGATGCCTTCAGCTTTTACTGCAGAATGCTGATAGCCTAAAAAACTCTGCAATGTTGGTCCAGCAAGCCAGGGACAGAGATCTGAACAACTAAACTATTTTGGGCACATAAGGACCCATGGTCCATGCTGCATAACCAAAGGGCTGACGGGACCTCAGAGATGACCCTTTGAATACCCACATCTTTCCCACCCATGATGTTCTAGCCACGTGCATCACTCTCCAATAATGTCTCTACAACAAGACCTAATTGACTTCAGAATTTAGCCACTTTCCCACTGGTTTGCAGGAGAGCAGAACCAGAGCCTCTTTTCCATGGATACGTTCATCATCCTGCCCCTGAACCTCTCAGCATTTTAACCAGTCTGCTCAGCTTCAATCTCCCTATTTCACACCAACACAAATGAACCTATTGAAAACCTATGAATAAACCACATGGGCAAAAGCGTTAAATTCGCCCCACAGCCCAGGAAATTTATCATTCCAAGCTCCTTCTCCCTGGTCCCCATCCCAGCTCCCTCTTGCCAAGCTGCACACGCTCCAGTCCTCTCCGGCTTGGGTGCTCCATGCAAGGAGGCTGGTGACTTGTAAAAGAAGGAAGACTGAATCATGAGGTCATACTATTATCACATTTCTATTCCAGTGCTTTCTCTTGCTGCCTACAATTATCACTCTTTTATTCTTGTACTTGGCTTCTTAGACTTTGATCTGGTCCTTTCCTTCATATCCTTTGATGCATTTTAGCTTACATTGTCTGTAACCTGACCCCTTGCCATCTAATTCCATCAACTTCTCACAGCCCATATCAACCACTCTCTCCCCTCTTTCATCTTTCTTTTGTATAAATGTATATAGAGCCCTAACAAAGAAACTACAGTTTAGTTGCAGCACTGCCAGGATCCTTAGAAGTGCTGGATAAAATCTCTGTGCATATATTTTGCTCCCATTTGGTCATTTTAAAACATCTCTATTTATTCTTTTTTTTTTTTTTTTTTTTTTGTTCGTATAGAAAATATAAAATACTAAGGAAAGAAAAGATAAATGTATGTGTTTCTTAATTGGTTATGAAATCCTGTTTTAATTATTTTTGCTGTAAAACTATCTTCAAGTTCATTCCAATGACGTTAAGACTGTAGAGACATGGCATGTTTTCATCATTAAATAGTGGTAGACTTTGATCATGTTTACTTTCATTGACAAAAAGGAAGGAGAGACCAGAGCTTACATTGTAAATACCAATTAGTGCAGAACTACAATGTGTGTGTGTGTACTTAGAAATATTGAGTTAGAGGAAAGAAAATAATTTGCTCCCTGCAAAGTAGGAAATGTGAGCTAAAATATATGGTCGTTTTTTTTGCAATGTCTAAATAATGTAGAAACAGACTTTCAGTTCTCAAAGGTGATGCAGGAGCCTAAAGTCTTGTTAAATCACTGCGCTGTAGGGCTTGAGTTTGCCTGAATGTTTGGGGATATTCTTACTGATATCATCAGGGGAAGGGAAGTGCTTATCCTCATCCTTTGAATTCACAGTCGCTGGCCACTCATTTGTCTGTGTTTCTGCAGAGGGATAAGGAGGGTGTGTGATGGAAATAATTGGTATAATAACTAGTATTTTTTGTAAGGACAAGACAAAGGAAATCTC